ACCCGAACCGGAGAAGTACAATGCGAGTGACGTGCGGTATGCGGACTATTCGAAGAGCCATGTGCAAGAGGCGAATGAGACAATGTTTAAAATGGAAGCGACAGGGCAGCATGTGCTCTACGAGCAGCAAGAGGGCGAAGATGGGAATCAACAGGTACCGCAAGTACAGTTTAATGCGCCGTATAGTCTCCAGCGGATATCTAGTTCGAGATCGGTAAACCAGGTTAGAGGGGGTGCGATGGCGCTAGGGTATCGTTACACTTTCGATGCGGCGGCAGGGAAGGGTGTTGACGTGTATATTATGGATTCTGGGATCAATAGGCATCGAGAGTTTGGTAGGAGATCCACCAGACTTTGGTCTGCCTGGAATAGCCATGACGATGATACTGGTCACGGAACTCATTGTGCTGGGACTGTCGGTGGGGAAACCGTCGGAGCGGCTAAGAACGCCAATCTCTGGAATGTAAAGGTGATGAGGGTGAGACCAGGGGCCAGGGGTGCCGGCACGGAGGGAGGTAGTCTTACTAGAGGGATTGAATTTGTTATCTCCAGACATATGCAACGTAGGAATAATCCAGATTTCCGAGGTAAGTTGTACTACTCTCCTAGAAGAAGGTGCATTCGCTAACGATTGAGTGGTCACTAGGTTCTGTGATGAGCATTTCGATTGGAGGTCCAGGACGGGACGAGTTCCAAAAACGTATTCTTCAAAAAGCTACGCAAGCTGGTGTACACGTTGTGATCGCTTCTTCGAATTATAAGGGTGACGCTTGTAATTATTCACCCGCCGTCTTTGCGCGTGAGCTACCGGTTATTACAGTCGGATCCGTCAATATAAACGACCAAAGAGCCTTCGATTCGAACTACGGTCCTTGCGTGACCGTATATGCACCGGGTGTCAGAATCATGAGCGCAGATTATAGAAGTTTCACGTAAGTGCAAATACAAAATCAACCGATTAAAGTTCATCTGAGCTAACATATGAGTAATAGTGGTCTCGTGCCGAAATCGGGAACTTCAATGGCTACACCTCTAGTTGCTGGCATGGTTGCTGATTTGCTCTCCAGAAACACCGAATTCAAGGAGAATCCTGGAGCGTTGAAAGCGCACCTCGTTAAGACCGGAATCCGTAATGTTGTTAAAGATGCCCGGAGCCAGGCTCCTCTTGTGAACAACGGAGTGCGTTTTTAATTTTCGAATCTCGTTCGATTTACGTGATTGACAGCCTGTAACATGTAAATATACTGATACATAGAGACTATGAAATTAATAATGTTTAATGCATGAAGATTACGCCTTTTCATTAGTTTCCAGTTCCATTGCATTCCGACCTTCGCTAGGATACTCCGTGGTTTGTATCTGGCTCCGGGGAGGTCGCCCAAAAGAAGTCATTGGCCGGCCTCGTGGAGAGTCTTCATTGAAAGCATATTGAACACCGGGTCTACGTCTTCGTGTTGTAGAGGAATACTGAATCTCATTATCTTCTTCTGGCTCAAAGCCGTTCCCAAGCTGCCGGAGCAAGTCGGTCTGTATCGTATTGCTTACCACCGGTTGCTCATCGATAAAATTTCCTGGATTTTGTTCCGGTTCCTCGTTTTCCAATTCCATCTCGGCAGACCCAAAACTTGCTTGCGGTTGATCCGGTTGCTGGTCGATATCATCTAATATATTTTGCAATCGTTGGGCGTCTGTTAAGACTTCAGGTATTCTATTGTCTTCGACTCGTGCAATGAACACAGAATCTTCCTGTGTCGCGGATGGCTGGCGAGATAACGCAGGGCTAGGTTCGAATTCTAATTGATCGAGATTTTCATCAAAAAAGGGTGGGTGGATAACGAGCTCTGGAGTTGCCACTTCATATTCTAATTGAGGTTCTTCGAGTGTCTCGGGTTCTATTTGAGAGATTTCAGGCATTTCAGGCTCCACATGAAGTTCTTCAGGTGTTTTCGGTTCGATCTGAGGTTCCTCGAGTACTGCGAGTGGTTCGGGTGGGTACGAGACCAGTTCGGTTTCCGTTTGGGACTCTTCGTCTTCGAGGTCGTCCAGATTCTCCAACCCCATTATTCTGTTTAATACCAAAGCAAAGGATCCCCGGTTAATCTCCCGTTCAGCGATAGAGGCCGGTGATTCAATAAGATCCGGGTTATTTTGATACTGATGTTCAATCGCATTAACCACGTCAAGCACCTCTTTTTCAATTCCTTGCAGGAAATCCATTACTAGCGAGCCTGGGTCTGAACCATTTGAATCGAATTCACTCTCATCATTTAGTACTCCAAGATCTTCCATCTTATGCAACATCAATGTGATAAGTATAGAGGGGGCATCCCAAGAGTATCGTATTTGCTTCAGCTGCCGCTGGAACCATTGTTCGCGTTCGTTTTCGGGCAGTTGATTCCTAAGCTTCCCGATACGATAACTTTGTAGGTAGAAGGCAAGTCGGCGGTTGGTGTACCCCTCATCGTCAAACTTCTTACTCACCTCGACGAGCTCTTTCTCAGTTAAAAGATTCATCTCTCGAGCCAGTTTGAGTTCGGCCATCATGTCTTGCAAGGATTCGAGCATGGCTTGTGGTCCACTTGTTAATATCATTTTCATGATTGCTTTAATTTCCTCCTCTCGAAGAGCTTGGAGAAGCATTCGTGATTCTATCTCAAAGTCGGAGATTTTCTCATTATCAACTGGTTTGTCTCTGAGAATCTCCGTTTCGCCTTCACCTTGGTTGTAGTTTACAACTCCCTGTGTTTCGCCGCTAGCGCCTTTGACAGGCGTCTGATCACCAGCTGGAGCTTGCGTAGCCCCTGGGACCGATTCTTTAAGTCCCTGTGGCGGTATATTCTTTCCGAGCGGAGCCTCTATTTTACCATTCGGGCGTTGAGGTCTTCCCGCCTGTCCATACAGATGGGCAATATAATCTTCCCCGGGCACGAAAACTTTCGTTGATGCCCTCGAAATGTCGAACGGCACATATGGTATCTCCTCATTCCTCTGAGCCAGCCATTCGTCTTTAGGTATCCAAATATTGCGATACTCCGGTACCGCATCCGAGGTGCCCCATTTAGCCAAATCTTTGAATTGATGCGACCCCTGAGCGCGAGGTTTGACCGCTATGACATCTTTCAAAATGACATAATCGCCCTCCCAGGCGGGGTAATCCTTCTCCGGTCTGTTCAATCTCATGACGATAGAACCGGGCTCGATGCTAGGAAATATCTCGGGTCCCTCTGGAATCTCCGCCCACGCTCCGTAATTATAATCTTTAAGGTTGAAATTCGGGATACCCTTCGCGAGCGCGTAGAGGTCTGCAATCTGCCGCGTGCCGGGGATCGGGTGGAAATAAATCATGAGGGTTGGGAGGTGGGAGCAGCGTTGTCGGGACCAGAAACCGACAAAGCGGACCATGGTGGCGACGCGGATGGTGACTTCCGCTCCTGGCTTTTGCGGTACTTGGTCTGATTCATTGAGTGTAAGTCCTCCTTGTGTGATGGACATGCCAGCCAGGTGGCGCGAAAGACGGCGGGAGCCTCCATATCCACTGTGGTCTTGGATTATAACGTCTCGTACGGTGAGTCCCGTACAGTGCCTTGGAGGGTTGAGGACTGGGGCATAATTGCGGTTCGAGGAGGAGTAAGGAGTGTCCCATGCGAACCGGAAAGCCCACTGCCCGTAGGCAATTGGGAGCCACCAGATGGTAAAGAAGATGATCCAGCGCATTCTATGGCCAATTCCACGATTGGCTTCTTTCTATCGAAAGGTTCAAAGTTTAGATGCCTCGATAAATTAAAAGACGTTTTGCACATGGCTACGACCTTCTCCCACGGAATTCCCCATGGATTTCATGTGGGGGGAGAATTTGAGAGATAAATTACTAGTTCTGAGTAAAGAGGCTCAATATAGCGCATATTCTTGATCCGATCAAGTACTCAAGTTCAAAATCACTGAGTTCATATTCGCGGCTCTAATCATTATGAATCCACTAAGATTTCCACAAGGTTACACAAAATCGGTAGTATCTACAATCCGCTGTCGACTTTAGCCATAATATTGGAGAATCATCGCCAGCAGTAGCAGCGCAGAGGCTTGGAAATAATATTGACATCTTCAAGGGATGTACACTACAGTACAGTAAATTCAATCCCCGCACGACTTAACTTTATATCTACATGCGCATATGTATCCACTACTCTTACGTTTGTTAGAGAATACGAGTATCTTCAACTCCAACTCTCGTGTTGAATGCAATATGCATAACTAAAAGTAATCAACATCACAACCGCGTTGTGCTGTGTGGTATTATGCGATCCTGAAACAAGCTTCCACAATTCTATATTTAGCCCTGTCAGGGAGGCAATGCGAGATCGAGCCAAAAGACCCACGAAGTTCGATTGTCTAAATCGAACTAGCCTATCAGATTTTTAGAATTGGGATAGGCAGAAAGAAACGATCCACGGCCGGCCCTAGGGTAAACGCATCGGGAGAACCTTGATCTCGAGGAGAAATATCCCGCGAGCAAGCTTGGAAGGCAGCGGGCAGGGACTAAAGATAGAATTTTTCCATATAGTTTCGATGCATTGGATCGGGATTTTAATATTCGTTCAGCGGATAGATACGACTTCAGTTATGGACTTAATTGATAGGTCGGGATGGTGAATATCGCTTTTCTAATTGTGAAATGGCAAAATTCTAGAATAGAAAACGTGACGTTGAAAGATTATCACCTTGCTGATGTTGATACCTTTGTGAACCAATCTCGACCGCCCGCTCGTAGTTACCATTGAACCAGCCATCTGCACGTGACTAAACACGCATTCTCATTTTGAGAAAGAACATGTTGACAATCGCAATCGCAATAGATCTCAATCCGCATATCCATGGTCAATACATCATTATGAGGATCTCTGATGCCGAGAAATGGTGGACAAATACCCCGGATACTCGAAATATCCACCAACCACGTCCGCGAAGGAATATATTCGACATTTCGAAGCCGCTCGGTCAAGGCCGTCATAGTATAGTGGTTAGTACACATCGTTGTGGCCGATGTAACCCCTGTTCGATTCAGGGTGACGGCAATTAAGCTGTTGAAAACTTCTTTTTTAACCCTTTGAAGCTCTCTTTTTGGTCATTCCTTCGGCCTTCTTCGACTCAGCTTTTGTTGGCAGGTGGGGTTGACCATTCTTCTGTGTTGAGATTTGTTACGAATTTAGGGCTGGTTAGCAAGGCCTACACGCATCTGTGCTGGGCTATACTATATTTCCATGCCATAATTTTTATCCGTGGGAGAAAACGTGGAATTGAGGATCGTTATTTATTCGGGTATAGGTTCTGATTTTAGTCAGTCATATTTAATACACCGATGCCTGGATTCTCGATTATTGATCGTTTCTCAAACAATTTTGGGGCCATATGACGATAGACCCGCCCGCCGGCCCCAAATGTCAAAAAATTTAAGGCGGTCGGCACGCCGTTTACAAATAAAAAAAAGAAGCTTGGCCTCATGTGGGTGGTGGCCAGTGGGGCAAAAAGCGATCACAAGCGATTTCGGTTCCGTGATGGTGATATTCGTAAGTGTAATGCGGGCTGAGCCACGATGGAATAAAAAGGAAACTTAGACTTACCACCCCATGGCCCGTGTGATATCTCGCTTTACTTTGTTGGTACGAAGATCTACAAACAAGCATTTTGTAAGTCTTGTGGCATCAGACGCGAGAGAAATGACAAAAATGAAAAAAGGAGGGCGGGTGCCATGTTGGTTTGGTTAGGTTGGGGCTCTTGATATGACAGCCATGCAGGCAACGGAAGGGGTGTAGGTTTGAAATTTAAAAGCGGAGACGTTGGTTTGACACCATATATGTATTTACAGAACGAGGGACAACAGAGTAAATCATGGGCGAGTATTTTGAGAACGTCGATTATATATCCGTGGGCGCTTACCGAATCATCTTGCGACCTCACATAATGGATCAACGGCTGCACGATGAAGGTAGAGCTCGATAGTAAGGATATCTTGATATGTCTCTATGGCAAGCTCCGCCGATGGTATTCAGGCGTTCGAATCCAAAGCCTTTGAAGCCTCAAATTTTTAAAAAACGACGGTTACGCATGCGTTTTGCAATTGCGCTCTTTCACTAGCTGAAGAAGACCTTCTAGACCACCAAATGGAATGGTTTCTTAGTAACCAACGGTCAAGAACAGTAAATATTTCATAATCCGGGTCTTGGGACCATTTAAGTATTTGAGTTATCGTGCTTTGCAACCCAAATGTGTCGAAGGAAAAGGCGTCAGCGTCTTAGGGCCCTTGCGCCTCCCCCCATGCACCGGAAAAAAAAAACAAGCTGAGTTTGCATCGGTTCCGGGGCTTCACTGGAGAGCAGAGCATCAAGGGCCACAAAAATTGGCAGGGAAGGCCCTACCTTTTGCCAGATCTGAAGCTAGCACACCAATTTGATTTGTATTTGGAGGCTCGTAGACGTGCAGGTTGCACAGGCAGGTTTGTCGCTGCATCGATACAGTTCCGTGTCTGATTAATTAATCAATCCATCAATCCATCAATTCTCGCGAATCCGACGAGGCGCTGCAAATTCGAGTGTCCGACAAGAGTTTCGCGGGGTCCTTTATTTCAAACCCTCGAAAAACGCCAACGAAGTAGCCCTTTCGTACATTCTCGAAACAAGAATGTTCTGTTCTCTGTGGTTTCTCAAATCATTGATTAATTCCGGCAGGTATTTTATTCGTAGTTAGACTGGTATCATGTCGTAGCAGTGTTACATACGCCAATGGATTCATTGCATGAGAGATCCGGTCGGTTCGCCAATAAACGCCAGCATCTCCGTGCCCCCCTTGGCCCTGTTAGCTAGCATGTTAGCTTCTGTCTTGCTTGTATCGAACAGAAGGAAAGAAAGGAAAGGGCCTTTTCGGGCTGAGCCTTCTTTTTTGTTGCTTCCTTTTTGCTCTCGACAATGGATTGCGAATTGTCTTTCCTTCTTCATAAAACATACTCCTCGTTCCCTCTTATCCTTAACCTATTTCTCTTTTCTTCTCCTTTCAATTCCTCACCGTCCTGTTCAAAGGGGAGATAAACGACGCCCTTCTTTCGGCCAGGAGACCTTTCCAAGTGGCGGTACTCGCTCACTCCCATCGACCACCCGCCGTTTGACGAGCAGCTTTGCATAGCTTACCCGGCCAAAGGAAAGCCCGCCTAAAAACGGACTACGAAACGAGAATCCCATTAACTGGACTTGCAATTTCGCTGCTGCTTTATTTGGTGGGGGAGCACAGCCCTTGTATCTTCCATAAGCACGACTGCTCCCCTTATACTTATAACTGAACCATTCGCGACGTAACGACGGCAGTTGTGAACAAGCGGAAGATATCGTGAATCGATCGGAGAACCATTTTCGATAGCCTACTTCCTCCGTCACTGTCTTTCTTCTCTTCCCCCTTCGTTTTTTTCACGAGTCTCAGAGAATATTCGGATATCAAAAGGGGATATTGAACGAGGCTTACGGTTTATCGTTTTCAAAGAGGAAGCTCGTGAAAAGAATCCCCCCGGCAGCGACAAGAGAAACCCGACTAGGCCGTTTTTTCTTGTCCCTTCGCTTAAAGCCGCTGCTTATTTTTGTGCTTCTCAGCCCCGACAAATACTTCCTCGGCCTCTAATAACTTTTTTTCTTGCTTTGAAAGACAGTGCAGTTCATTAGTGTTATTTGTGGTTGTGGTTGATAATTTGAAAGCGCACGGTTTGAAGGGGGCCTGTCAGCCGCGTTTCCTGGTTCCCTCAGCTTGCCTGCTGACCTCCCTTCATCTTCAACTTTATCTTCAACCTCAACTTCAACCTCGACAACAGCTTCAACTTTCATTCGTTCACTCTCCTCCCTCTCCTCCTCCTCACCCTACCTTCTCTTACGACATCTTTTCGCCAGTTAGCTTACAATATTTTCACAATGGCGCCTCCATTATTACCGAATTCGGTCCAGCGACGAGAGGATTTGTTTGAAAAGTTTAATTTGGATCCGCGGCAGTCTGATGTCCCTTCACCAACTCCACCAACACCGTCGTCACCCGCAGCTCCGTCGGGGTCAAGATCCCCAAATGCAGATTTCCAGGGGACCCGTGCCTCTAGCTCCAGTTTACCCTCTCCTACTCAAACTCCCACTCAAACTCTTTCATCGTCACCATCACCTACATCTCAGAGCAATTCTCAAAATAATGGCGGCGGCTTTAGCATGACCGGCGCTCAATCCGGAATCGTAATTGTATGCGACAAACAGAATCCTATATACCCCATGATACAAGTTCAAAGCTAACTCGCTAAATTTTCCTACAGACAATTGTCGCAATCATCGGCATCGTGATAGCATCCTTCGTCTTTTACATTATTCTCAAATCCCTTCGTGTTCGCTATAAAGATCCCAAATATCTCCCAGGCTCATGGTTGAAAAAGAAATGGACAAACTGGGACGTAATGGGCTATCATGCCACCGAAAACGGCGCAGGCGGTTCGAACCAAGCCCGTATCAATCGCGTCGCCCGTAGCCGCGCCAACATTGAAATAAACAGAGCTTTGGATCGTCAAAACAGCGTCAGGAGTGTCATCACCCTTCCGCCATACCGTGAAATGGCAGAGATGGATCTCGAGCGCACCATCGGTCGCGAGGGTGAGCGTGATGGACTCGACACTATTACTCAATTCCCAGAAACTGCAGATGAAGAGGAAGCCAGACGCGAGGAACGCATGCAGGCGATGTACGAGCTCAGATTGCAGCGACGAGCCCAACGAGCTGCGCGAGAGGCACGGGAACGAGGACGTGACGGCAGCGTGACATCTTTAACTAGTACGACCAACGCTAGCTCGCAAAACAACAACGGCAACGGCAACGGCAACGGCAACGGTTCTTCGGTTTCTTTAACAGCTATGGATATGGAAGCCGGTGGAAGCGGGAGAACCGCCAGTGAGCTCACCGCGGCCATCTTGAACGATCGGACAAGACGGTTATCGGAGGTATCATACGGTGAGGTTGGCTACGCTCGACATGATGGTAGCAGGATCAGAGCTTCGTCGTCAAATAGGAATAATAGTACCACATCGGATTCGCAGCCTTTGCTCTCGGATAATGCTAGCGGCGCCGGAAGAAGATCTCGCGCGGGTTCTATGCTGTCGCTGAATACTACTGGCTCGAACGACAGAGCTAGCATGGAGAGGAGAGATTCGGCTGAGATCTTGACTAGTGGAGGGGATATCGGTGAGGCGAGGTTGCCGCCGAGTTATGATGGTTTGGATTGGGGTGAGGCCCCGCCATATATGAGCCCCATCAGTCCTGTTGGCCGCAGCGACACATCCGCGACGAGAAGATCGGTTGCGAGACAAGGCAGTCAGCGGGAACATCCCGGATTGAACGTTCCATTGGTGAGGGTCATCGGTGCCAGCAATCCTGGTAGTCCCATGAGCCCACGGGATCCGCATAGAAGAGACGAGTCATTGTAGGATATATTGTATTAGCATCTCCTTTTCTCTCTATCACATCGTTTCTGTTATTACTGGTGGGCTTGCGTTTCATTTTCTCCTCACCAACCAAAGATGCCGCTTTAAAGCATATCATGAGCATGAATCATAATGTTCTCTTTTCCTTTGCTTTCCTAATAACGGCGCAACGATGGCGTTTTTGAGTTTTTTCATACCGGTTCCTTTTGCTCCGCGGATATTCTATACTATACATTCATTAATTGTGGAACGGGGTGTGTTTGGTCTCTTTAGCATGTAATCTCTCTCAGCGACCCGGTATTCTTGCATTAAAAAACAAAAGAAGCATAACTCTCATCATTATTTTTTACTTCTTCTCTCTCATTCCTGGGCTTAAAATGGTAGCATTACATTTAGCATACATGGGTTATTGTTGATAATGATCCTTCAAAATGCATTAATCTATTGATCGAGGAACCTGACAAAAGAAAATCTCTATTATTTTTCTAGTAATTGTGATATAAAAAATAGTGTCTACGCTGCATATTGTAATTCATATTGTAATTCATGATAGTCGAATCCCCCGAGATCCAGCTTCCAAGCCCTGAAAAG